TTAAAACTACGGAGCTGAAAACAGCCAAGGATTGGGAGGCRGCAGCTTGTATCATCACTCCAACACCTAGGAGCAGGAGGGAGAGCAGAGCACTTTCCCTGTCCTCTCTGGAGCCAGCCTCTTTATAGTGCGTATTTGTGTTCTGGTCAGCAAGACCCTGTGTCCCTGCGCCGGAGGAATCAAGTTGTGCCTGTTTTTGGAGGCGGGGGCATGGCTTGTGCTGTGTGCCATGTGCAGGGCTGCCAGCGGCGGCCGGCTGTGCGCGGGAGCGCTGCGGCTGAGCGCGAGCGGAGCGGAGCCGCACCGGGACAATGCTCCATCCCATGCACCGTGTGCAGCCAAGAGCCAGCAGCAATTTGTGTTCCACGAGAAGGTGGCGGTAGCTCCGGAGCCGAGGGAACTCCCCCGGCCGGGTGCCAGGCTCCCGCAGCCCAGCTGGAAGACGCCAGCCAGGAGCAGGGGCCTGCGTCAGCAGCAGGAGGAGGAGGAGGAGCCGTGCCCTTGGAGCTGGGCTCTGGCCGTGGTTATGGGCAATGCCGAAGCCGCGCGCGCTGCCCCTGGCCGGGCCGGCGAGGCGGCTCCCTTCTCACCTCTGCAGCTGTGCGGGGAGCCCCGCGGCCCGGCTGCGCCCGGGATGGCTCCCAACGGATTCATGTTGGCGCCTGAGAAGGTGCCGCTCCGGCAGCAGCTGGTGTGACGTGGCGGTGCCCAGATCCCCGGCCTCCCCGTGCCCCTTCTCCTGGCCTTCCCAAAGCTGCTTAGTGGTGTCCCCTGATAATCCCCTTGAGCACAGCCCGGCATCTGTCTCCCTGACGGGCTTCCTTTGGGGACACAGTGGCACACGGCAGCATTCCCGGAGGCCGTGYGAGCAGCCCCATTCCAGACAGTGGGATCTTGAGCATCCCCTTCCCGCTGGCTGCTGTAGAAGAGGGGGACGAGGTGCTGGGTGGGAGCTGGTGCAGGCCTGCCTGAGCCCCGAGCTCCGTGTGAGCCCAGCCTCGGATCGGCATGAGCGCTGCGGCCGTCGTCGCTCTGAGCCTGGCGAGGCAGCACGTTGCTCTTACGGGACTTCTCATTAACTAATTCCCCTCTTAAGCTAACTTTTTACCTTTTAGCTGCTGCAATTAAACTCCTGGGTGCAATTAATCCCCCGTTTTTTTGGCATGATGGTAGGAAAAGAAAGGCTCAGAGCTGGAAGGCTGGTGTGGCTCCCAGGCGCCCTCAGCCGCTGTTTGTTTTTCCTCGCTGGCTGCAAGGTGTCGAGGGCTCTCACTCTCCTTGCAAAGGCTCAGGGCACTAAGAGCAACATGTCGGGCTGCGGGGGTATCCTTGGAGCTCTGCTCCTGCACGTGGTGAGCAGGAACCTAAGCCAAAGGCTGGCCCCCTTGAAAGCTCCGTGTTTTTCATGGGTTCCCGTTGATGCCAMCAAGTTGTGCTAGGTGTCTCTTGCAGCACTTGGTGCTCCTGGCGCGGGAGCTTTTGCGCCCTGGCACCTGGTGACGTGGCAACGGGCAGCACAARTGGGGCACCTCTCGCACCAGCTGTCCCGTCGGTGCTGGGGACCTCCCCGCCGTGCTGCCGCCAGCGGTGCTTCGGTGGTGCCTTGTTGCCCACTCCTCTTGCAGCGTTTGCTGCACGTTCCTCTTACAGTGCTCCCTTGCTGTGTTTTCCAGCGGGTCTGTAGCAGCGGGAAGGCAGGCCGGGCTCTGCGTCGCAGCGCGCCTGGCCAGTGGGTGTTTCAGACTGTGAGYAGGACCGGAGGAGGCTCTGTGCTATGGAAAACAGCACAGATGTGTACCAGCCTGAAGCTAAGTCTCCCAAGTCCCAACCCACAGGCTCTCCTCCACATTGCYCAAACTCCCACACCGATGTACCCAGTCCCTTGCTCATGTGGCATCCCCATAGTTCAGTGGTGGGGCTGTGGAGGAGGCTCCCCTGCTTAAAAAGGGAGTGTTGAGCCCACCGACACGTGCCGGGGTCAGGCAGCAGGCAGGGAGTCCTGTGGCTCGCAGGGGAGCTGCTGCTGGGAACACGTGGCCAAGAACTCCCGCTTCGGTGGAGCCAGTCGGAGAGCCCGGGAGGTCTTTGTCACCCGGCTGTCACGGGGACTGGTGGCGGCTCCTACGCTTGATGGCTACACAACGCGCCAAACACCTCTGGGAACAGACTGGAAAATGGGGGCCTTGAGGCTTGCAAAGGCACAGTGACTAAGCGGGAGCCGCGAGGCCGATGCCRTGGGCTAACACAGGCACTTGCTAAATAGCGATTGATTAAACGTTTGGCATTTCATGCCCATCGCTGCCSCTCTCGTTCCTCACCCGTGGCAGATGCGCGAGCACAGCGCGTTCCTCCAACACAGAGAACGACCTTTTCTCTATTCGGCGTGGGGTTGATTTAATGGGTTGCTGGGCGCTGGTGAAGGGTGCTGGCGCTGGCTGCCCCGGCCCCCCGCAGCACATGCAGCCCRCCCCGAATGTGGCCACGGGAGCCTCAGCCCCCGGTCCTGGCTCTGCCCGCCACGAGGCTGTGGAACCGCTGTTCCCGGGCAGGCTCTGCTTCCTCCCCAGGGAATTCCCAGCTCCTTTATTTGCGGATTGGTGGGATTCTGGCAGGATCTCCCCATTGCCGCCACTTTTCCCGTGCCTGGAGTGTTTGGCATTGTTGCTTTTCTAAAACAAGGGTGAAGTGAAGAGCTGATGGAAAAAAAAATACTGTCTTTACATGATTAAATATCCATTTTTTCCTCATTAAGCAAATAGAAAAAGAAGTTGGTACTGTACCGGTGCAGCCAGGCTCCTTGGGGTCTCTTGGCCAGGAACATTGCATCCAGCCTGGATCCCTCTCTGGGTTTCACTTCTCTCRGGTTTGCTGCCACTTGCTTTCTTTAATGAAGGAATTAGAAGGCCTGGGAGTGGCACCGAATCCCTTGCTCGCTCTCCTCATGCTTTTAAACACTGGGCATGAAGCCCCTCCAGCCTTTTGCTAGCGGCAGCGTGCAGGAGAATACGCCAAGCGAATCACATCAGATTAATTCCTGGCGCTCGGTGCCGGCCTCGGGTGGGCTCTGGTTCATCTCTGCCTAACAGGGCCTAATCAGAGCTGTGGAGAAAGCCGTGCTGGAAGGGACCCCTCTGCAGCAGCGTGCCGCTCTGCCCTCCCTGCTGAGAGATGATCCTTAAGGGACGTGACGCTCCACAGAATCACAGGACATGYGTGGGGACGGGGCAGCCCGAGCGGGGCCAGGACTGGCCGTCTCCCCCAGTGCCCCGGGGAAACGGGTGCTGTCTGCTCCAGAGCCCGCATCCCGCAGGAGCATCGTCTCCCTGGAGAGCCTCAGCGCTGGGCTCCCYGCCGGTGCCGGCTGGTGACCGGCTGTGCTCGTGCAAGGTGGTCGCGTGCGCATCCCGCAAGCCCCGCGGCCCCCTTGCTCCTGCAGGAGAGGGGGGCTGCAGGGGTCCCGCTGCTCYTGTCCCACCCAGGCGTCTGGTGGCCCTGTCCTGAGCCTGCTTGGCACCGTCGTGGGGCTCATCTCTGTCCATCTCTCCATTTCTGTGCATGCTTGGGCTCCCTCACCTGCTTTTCATGCTGGCAGGTGAACTAAGGCTGTGCGTTTTCTACCAGGAAATCCCTCTGGTTTGACACAAATGAAGAAAGAAAATGGCCTGTCCTTTGTGCCTGTAGTGTTGAAGCAGTGTCACAAGCATGTTAGGTCTCAGTGAGRTCACTACCAGAGGGCTGTGCTGCCATCCAGAGGGACTTAGACAGGCAGGGGAGCTGGGTGGAGAGGAACCTCGTGAATGTAGAGTCCTGCACTAGGAAGGAGCAACCCCCTGCCCGGGACAGGCTGGAGAGCAGCTCTGCAGAGCAGGTCCTGGGCGTCCTGCTCGGCTGACCACGGGCCAGCAGTGAGCCCTGGTGGCCGGGAAGGCCGATGACATCCCGAGGAGCATTAGGAAGAACATGGCCAGCAGGTGGAGGGGGGAGATCCTCCCTCAGCCCTGGCGAGGCCACGTCTGTGCTGCCATGGCCAGTGCTGGGCTCCCCGTGCGAGAGTGACAAGGAGCTGCTGGTTGTGGGGAGGCTGCTGTGTGCTGGGGAGGTTGTGGAGTCTCCTTCCCCGGAGATACCCAAAACCCATGTGGGCATGATCCTGTCCAAGGTGGTCTAGGTGACCCATTTGAGCAGGAGGGTTGGACAAAATGATCTCCGGAGGTCTCTTCCAGCCTCAACCCTCTGTGATTCAAGACACTTTGCCGGGAGCATGAGAGGGGCTGTTCGTGCACTGAACATTTGGATCATTTGAAAAGTTACCAAGTTGAAGTGGAAATGAGAGGCCCTGYTGAGCCAGGGCTGCTGTCCCGGCTTCCTCCTGGGAGACGGTGGCTTTTACCTGCAAGCTGCCCGCAAGCACTAGGTCCTGCAGCCCCCGCAGCAGATCCTGGTGCAAGGTGACACTCTGTCCCGCGTGGCAGCCGGGGGTCATGACGAGCCGTGGCAGCAGCACCCAGACTTCGGAGCCGGGCTTGCGTTGGTGGCTTGTGTTGGTGTGTTCTTCTGCAGTGACCCCATGAGCACGGCTTCTGTGTTGGGGTTCTGGCTGTGGGAGGATCCCAGCAGAATGCAGGCTGGCTCCTGCAATTACTGCTGTGACTAGCTGCTGCTCATTAACTGCTGCAGGAGCTGGGCTGCCCTCAGCCCCGGAGCTGGGGACAGCTCCAGGGAGAACACACATGTCCGGGGGTGTGTTGGGACATGGGGGCTTGGGGAGCTGGGAAGGGGCCTGCAGAGCCCCTTTTGCTCTTCATCTCCAGACAGGGTGGTTATGGATTTGGCCCGAGGAGGTGCAGCAATTCCTCAGAGGAGCAAAACTATTTGTGTGTCTCCAAGATGTAGCTGAGGTCGCATCGCCGTCAGGCTGCTGAAGGTCCTGGAGCGGCTTCAGCAGTGGGGAGCGTGACCGAGCGCGCTCCGCCTGACACCTCCTCTCCCTGTCTCCGCAGCGCCGCCGTGTCCCCGCAGCCTGGACTGCGCGCTGCAGCGGCGGGAGCTGTGCGCGCCGGGCTCGCGCGCCTGCGGGCCCTGCCTCCAGCCCTTCGTGGAAGACGAGCGTGGCCGATGCGTCCAGAAGAAACACGCGCCCAGCGGTACGTGCAGCGCCCGCAGCCTCCTCCTGTGCTGCAGCCTGGGCCCTGCTGCAGGAGGGGCCTCGCTTGGTGCCCTGAGGGGCCTCGCCGTGATGGTGGCCACACGCTGGCACCCACGGCTGCTGCCCTCTGCATGGGTTCCATCACCAGCAGTGGCCGGGGGGGTTTCTCATTCCCTCGCCCAGGCGCGGGACGGGAGCTGGGGCCTGCTCGGAGTTCCGGGTCTCCCTGCAGCTCAGTCACTGTCACCGCTGTCACCCGCTGCGCCCTGAGCTCCCTGCTGCTCCTGGGGGGCTCCTGTGCCACATCCTGCTACGTCTGGGAGCTGAGCTCCTTGGGGAACCAGCAGCGAGCTGGGGCAAGGGGGATTTCTGTGCTGTCCGCACCAGACCGGCAGCAGGGATGGTACTTCGGTGAGCCTGGGTATGGGGTGGTGGGTGCTGAGCACCATTTGGGGCCGTTCCCTGCTCCTTTGAGATGCTGCTCTGCAGCTCATGGTGGCATTTGGTGCCCATGAGCATGATTGCCCCTGGGCCCTATGCTGGGTGTGGGGCTGGTGTTGCAGACGGGTGAGGGTGACAGTGACACCCGTGCTCATTGGAGCCGCCCGTGCCGGGGTTCGCCTGTTGCCCCGGGGCCRCCAGCGCGTGGCGGGTGAACGGGGCCCGGGGCTGCCGTCAGTGCCGCGGGTGCCGCCACCCTGTGCTTGGGGTCCTCTGCCCCAGCTGGCCCTTGGCTCCACGGCACCGTGGSGATGGGCAGCTCCTGACCAGCTTTTATCCCTTGCATTGCCTTGAGCCCTCCTGTGTGACTCTGTCCCCAGCTTTCTGGTTGCACCAAGAGTCAGCGATGGCTCTAGGCAGAACCCGGTGCCCAGGTGCCTCCTGTGCCAGGCTGCGCAGTGAGGGTCCCTCATCAGACCTGCCCGCCAGGAGGAAGATGGGACCATGGCAGGGCTGGCGATGAGCTAGGAGGTGTTAAAGCCCTGGGGGGTGAGCTACATATTAACCCTCTCCTTTCCTCAGCGAGCACGCTCCCCACAGGGCTATTGGCTGCGCACAGGGCAGAGGGGTGGCAGAGAGGCACCGCTGTGGGGATGGCTGCCAGGCCCCGCACCGGAGGACGGAGCATCCTGGCTCCAGCCCAGGCCTCGTGCATCTCTACGGATCCGTCCAGGTGTGCAGGACCTGGCTGAGGGGAGAACTTCCTTGGGCTCCAGAAGCACCAGCAGTGACAGGTGCCTGGTGCCCATGACTTTTGGCAGAGTTTGAAAAGCAAGACTAGCCATAGGCAAGGGTTGTGCCTGTCCTTTCCCCTCCCTGCCCCAGGCTTTTCCTGCATGTTCAATGAGCAGGCAGATTAAATTGGTTGCACCTCATTCTGCTTGCTCTAGCTGCAAGGGAGCAGCACCCGTGCACCGGGCACGAGGAAGGCCCTGGCCATCCCCTGGTTCCGCTCCCCTGGGCAGATTTTGCTGACAACAAACCAGCTATAAAATGGGGAGGCAGCCGGTGCTGGCGTCCGCGGGCAGGGAGCTGCCTCGCAGGAGGYGGCAGTAGGGGCCCCTGCTGCGCCCTTTGCATCCCATTAATACCCCCTCGCATGGGGAAGGGCAGCAGGGTGTCCCCACGATGGTGCTGGGTGTCACTCTGGATGTGTTGCCAGGGATCCTGGCACATGGCAGCCGGAGCTACAGGGATGTGAGAGCTGCTGTGGGTCAGCCAGCCAGGAGCAGGAGCGGGGAAGGGGACGGGTTGAGCCGAGAGGAGCCCCGCGGGGCTGGGGCTGCTGAGGACATCAGCTGGATCTCGTTATTTTCCGGGATGTCTGGGGAGCGGGTTTCTCTCCAGGAAGGGATGCAGAGGCGCCTGCGTCTCCATGGCAACCCCGCCTGTTCCCAGGCGCGGAGGCGGCGTCGGGATGCGGGGCCGGGCCGGCACCCGTTCCTGCAGGGCCAGCCCCGCGTGCCCCAGCCCTGCGGYGGCCCCGCTCACAGGGGCAGCGCTGCCGCCCCCAGCCTCTCTCTGTGCTGCAAGCCTCCCCGGCAGCGCCCCAAGGTGCCGCACGGCTCCCTTGGAGGGGCCCGGATTTGGAGGAACAGGGGGCAAAGGGTATGAAAGATGCGGAACAGAGCAGCTGCCGGCTCCTCAGCCGCAGCCCGAGGCCTGTGAAGGCCGCGGCCTCCTCGAGCCGCGGGTGCCGCCACGCTCGCCGTGCTGCCGCTGCCGCCGTTGGCTGCKCTGCGGGCAGGACGTGGGCAGGACGGGGCTGCCGCTGCGCCCGGCCCRTGGCCCCGGCTCGGGCAGGCCCGGAGAGCGGCGGCGGCTCCGGGCAGCGGCCCTTGGCGGGCTGCCTAGTTCTGGGGGTGGCAGCGGCGGGGAGGCGATGCAGGCGAGCCGGCTCCTCCTGCCCCGGTGCCTGTGCGCCCTGGTGGCCGCGGGCCTCGGCCTCGCCACGTCACCCGCTCTGCACCGATGGTGCCAGCCCCCAGGTAAGGCACACGGGGTGGTGACGGCCCCCACAGGCTGCGTTAGCTTTTTGGGAGCGCTGAGATGGCATTGGGGCCGTAGCCAGGGTCTGCTCCCCTCCCCACACCGCTCAGCATGGGGTTTGCACGAGCCCCGATGCTCTGTGCAGAGGGGCTGGTACAGCAGGGTTCATCCAGCACYCAGCACCCCGGCTACTGCTCCCGGCACCCTGTGTCTGCGCCCACCCTGCGCCATGCAGGGAGCTCCCCCGGCGCTCCCGGGCTGGCGGCTGCTGGAGCCGCGGGGCTGGGGTAGCCCTTCCTGGGCGGGCAGGCATGGCAGCAAGCAGCGAGGCCTTTACTCCTGCCCACATGCTGCTGGCAGAGCTGGGAGGCTGCAGTCGAGGTAATAAACTGATTCTTAGTCATTTTGCACCTTCCTACAGAGGCTTCAGTGTTCGGTACTGCCTGCCCGCACGTCCCTTACTGCTTCCCCAAGCCCGGCACGGACTGGCAGGGCTGCTGCAGAGGCTGCCATGAGAGGGCAGCCGTGCCCCGTGTGTGCCAGGGAAACCCGGCGCGGTGCCCGTGAGTGCCAGGCTGGCAGCTCCCTGGCTGCAGGCACCGAGGTTTCCCGGGAGCCTCCAGCCCTGCTGGATCTGCGCTTTGCGAGCACTTTGTCGGGGCTCCACTGGCCAGCTGGGAAGAAACGCGCTGGATTCAAACAGTCTTTCACTGTGGAGCATCGCGTTAAGCACAGGGTTCAGCTGCGGGGCTGAGCGGAGTGGCCCCAGGGGCTCAGCACGGCCTTGCCCRCAGCGGCTCTGACAGGGTCTCGTGCCAGGCCCTGCAGCAGGATGGGCCCTGGGCAGCTGTTACCCTGTGATTTTCCAGCTTTTATTCCCCCGCCAAGCCCTTAAGCAGATCACATTAATTCTCTTGAAGCCCCAGCTGTTGCAGTAGCAGCCACTCAAGTCAAAACGCACCACAGCAGAACTGGGAGAAGTGGCGCACTCCCTGCTAAAAAAACGTAGCAATATATCGACAGAACACGAATCCCCAGTAGACCTGCAGGAAAAACCTCCGTAGACCCAGCGCCATCCCGTAGGATGGCCTAGCAACCTGCAGCCTGCAGTGACCCCATGTGCGGAGCAAGCCGAGCAAGCACCAGTGTTYGCAGCATCCCCGGGCCCCGGCGGCCCTTGGGGAGCCCCAGCGGGACCGTGCAGGGTGCACCAGGGCAGGGGACCCACACAGGGCACGTGGGCTTGGCAGGGAGCTGGGCTGCAGCCTGGGAAGGTGCCAGAAGAGCACCTTCTGATAGGAGCAGGTGAAACTCCTCAGCACTCCTCAACACCTCACTGCTCCTCAGCAGTGCTCAAAAGCAAGTGGGCTCTGCTAGTGCAAGCCAGCCCCTCCCCGGCTGCGGCTTTCTCTTACACCCCTTTCAGTTTTCCAACCTTTTACATCTGTTTTAAACTGCTTTTCCCTCACACGGAGAGGTGGTGGCTGAGGGGGATTTCTGTGCCAGGGCCCGGGGAGGGAATTGGTATTTGTTTCCAACACGTTCAAAGTGGTGACAAATTCCAGAGCAGCTGTGATTGTTAAAACCTGGGATGCGCCTGGAAGTGAGCGGCCGGCACCTCCTYGCCTTTGTGTAGCTCCGTTTTCCCTCCAGGGCTTCCCACTGGCTCAGAGCAGCAATTGAGAGGCAGAGGGAGCCTGCACCATCTTCCCGCTTTGAAGTTGGGCTTAATCCTGTTAAAAGCCCCAGGCTTCAAGAGCGGGCCCCTGATAACGCGTCCCTGGAGCATCTTGGCAGGGGCAGCCCGGAGAGGAGCCGGTTCCTCTCCTGCCTCAGGTGGAAATGCCCTGTGGGCAGCTCGGAGGCACCGGGTGCTTTCCAGCAGCTCCCTTCCCACGGTGGGTGCTGGCCCGGCCGGTTGWGCGTGGTCCTGTCCCACGAGGGGCTCTCCGAGGTGGGTGCCGGGCTCACTCCTGCTTCATCCCTTCCCTGTGATGCCCAGTGTRGCCCTGAGGGCTCTGCAGTGAGGGCACCCAATAGAAGCAGTTAAAAATGTYGCCAGACCCCTCGCAAAAAGTCAGTGGGACCTGAGGCGGTCTGGGAGCTGAGTGCACCCAGGTGGGATGAGAGGTCTGCCAGGCTGGTGGCTGTTGAGAGGAGCTTGTCCAGACTCACAGCTTTGGATCCCCCTCTTGGGTGGATGTTTGGGGGACATGAAGGCATCTCCCTGGAGAGCACCTCTCCCGTGCYGGCCCCGCTCCCCCAATCGCCCTCCAGGGAGGCCCGCTTTGGACCCAGAGATCACAGGGAGAGAAGAGTGTGTTGGCCCCAGCCTTCCTCTTCCTCCATGTCCTGGTGGCCACACGTCCTTGTCTCTAGTCAGCTTTGTTGCCCAACCTCTGCTGGCCGGATGCTTCTGGGCCCCATGGCATGGGGCGAGACAGGAGCCTCCAGGCAGGTGAGGGCTGGCAGTGCCCTGACACCTCTCTTCCTCCTCTTCCTCCTCCCCTGCCAGCTCTGCAGAGCACTTGGGGCAGGTCCCATGTGCCACGGGGCTATGTGGACCCCTGCAGATGCAAGCAGCAGTGCTAGGACTCCTGGGCCCCTTCCCTGGACTCTACCACTGGGCCTTGGTCTGGGGCTCCGGTGCAGGCAGCAGCGATGGCTCCTGCCCTGCAGACTGACTGGCAAACAGGTGAATCCAGACAGTATCCAGGCCCTCTGCTCCCTTCCTGCCCTGGCCAGCGCTGGAGCAGAGGAGCACCATGCCCAAGGGGCCGCATCCTGCTCGGTGCGGGGCACAAACTGGCCCTGTGGTTGGAGGCCTTCGTGCCAGCTGCTGGGGACAGCAGCAGCCGGTGGCCCTGGCTGCCGTGTGGTCACGCACTGCCCCTCTCGCCTTAGGGAGGACTTTGGTTCCCGGCCTGGAGGAGGAAATCGATTTCCTGGCGGACGTGCTGGCCAGACAAGATGCTGCTCGCCCGCCGCCGCCGCGTGACGGCAAACCCCGAGGTAAGTGCCCCMGCCGCAGACCCTGCCGGCTCTGTCCTGCCCTCCCCAATTGCTGAGCCTGGATGATGTACAGCGGGCAGGATCCCACGAGTCCCCTCTCCRTGGGGCACCTCCTTTCTCCTTACTCTTGTTCTTCTGCCGCAGTCCTGGGCTGGCTGTCACCTGCTTTGCTCATGGCCTCGCTTCCTCCCGCAGCCGCCCCAGCCCCGGCGGGGAAGCATCGCGTAGCCGGCAGGTTGAGAGGGGAGTTATTGCAGAGGGATCCTGCTGGCACCAAGGCAGCCACCATCCTCCCCACCTCGACCACTGAGGCGGTGCAGAAATACCCCGTGGAGGCCTCGCCCATCCCTTCAAACGATGCCGTGGTGCTCGGTAAGACCCAAGGGACGGGGTTCTGGGGCTGGCTGGGGGCACCGCGGTGTCACCGCTGGGGGCACCGCTGGGGGCACCGCGGTGTCCCTGCCCGTGGTGTGCAGGCTGGCCCCGGGGCGCAGGGCTGGGCGCCGGGTTCACCCATGCTGCTCTCTGCCACGTCCTCCTGTGCAGGGCTCATCGTGGTGTGCACCGTGGCCGGCATCTCCGCCCTCATCGTGGCTGCTGTCTGCTGGTGCAGGTAAGCCAGAGCCTGCTGCTCTCAGCGAGCTCCTGTGTCCTCATAGCGCCTGCGCGTGCGGGTCCCCACGCTGCCCCAGGGAGGCTTTGGAGGAGAGCAGCTGTCCTCACGTGTCCCACCACAAGCACACCCGTGCCCGTGACCACCAGCGGCGGAGGACGGTACATGGTACATGGGATGTACATGGGTACATGGGATGTCCTTGTGCCAGGCCGGGGGCCAGGGGAGTGACTTGGCATCAGGCTTTGCCTTGTGTCCCCCACCGGCATTGCAGACCAGGCCAGAGGGGATCCAGTAGGAGCCTCATGAGGCTCCAGTGTGCTTGTGATGCCAAAGCTACCTGCTGCCCTGCAGGGTTTTGACAGGCCCAGAGGTGTAGGCACCCGACCTGGCAGGGTGCTGGCTCTGCTTGCCAACAGCATTGCTGCTCCAGGCCGCCTTGGACCCTGCTGCACCAAATCACTGCTTGGCCAACTGATGTGCATTAAGTTTCAGGGCACCTCTGGTGTTTTTAAGTCCAGTTCCAGCCTTACCACTCAGCCCCTTTCTGAGCCATTGCAAGGTGTCATCCCATGACAGCAGCAGCAATGGTCCCACACAGGGCCAGTGCTCACCTGCGCAGCCCTGTCTGGCCGTGCTCGGCCGTCATGCACCTCGTCACGGTGCTCGGCACCCTGGGGCGCTGCTCCGGGGGTGCCCCTTGCGGGCAGCGAGCCCGGGGTGAGGGGCTGACCGCAGGGGTCACTGGGCCCAGTCGCTCCTGCCTGACACTGTCTCCTCTCCTCGGCAGGCTGCAAAAGGAGGTCAGGCTGGCACAGAAGGCAGACTACTCGGCACAGAGAGTGCCCAGCCCTTTGCCCTACGACAACATCTCGGTAAGGTGCCCGGGTGCCTCTTGGCAGGGCATTTGGCACTGTGCCAGCCCTGCCTCCCTTGTGCGAGGCTCCCAAAGCGGAGATGGGAGCTGCTGCCAGCTTGGGCTCCGCTTTGGACCACTGGGCAGATCGGTGGCCTGTGGAGAGCTAGCAGGTCGCCAGAGCCCYGCATTCACTTCTGCCACTGCTCTCTTTGCAGCCTGGGGACAARACGCTGGCTCAGAGTGCCCAGATGTACCACTACCAGCACCAAAAGCAGCAGATGCTCTCCATGGAGAAGTGAGTGAGCTTGCCCTGCAAAGAGGAAGCAGAAGCAGTCCCCAGGCAGAGTGGTGTTGGTGGGAGCCCCAGGCACTGGGTTTTTGCCCCAGCGGCAGTGCCCAGGAGCGCGATGTCCCTACCATTAACCAGGCAATCGTCCCTCCGGCTTCACCCACCCTCTCTGCCTTTTTCACAGGCATAAAGAGGAGCCCAAGGTGCCAGACTCTGCGTCGTCCGACGAGGAGAATGAGGATGGMGACTTCACTGTGTACGAGTGCCCAGGGCTGGCTCCGGTAAGGCCCGGGCTCCAAGCGGGGCACTCACCAGCTCTGCTGCTGCCTGGCAGCACCCGCTGTGCAGCCGAGCCGCGTTGGGGCAGGGCGAGCACAACGAGGGGCTCTGGGGTGCATGGGTCCCCAAGAGGAGGCCTTTGTCACACCCTGTGGCGGTGCAGCCCTGCTCCTGGCAGAGCACCCGCTMTTCTGCTTGACTCAAACCGTACGTGCTGCCAGGGCAGCTCAAAGCCACGTGAGATGGGGCTTCTGCCGGCCCCTCGTCTGAGCCCAGGTGGTGGAAGCAGAGACTGCTGTTATGGGCACTTGAGTTGGTGCTGCAGATGTGCAGCCTGGCTTCGCTCCACACGTGTGGTGGACAGAAATGTGGTTTCAGGACATGGAGATGTTCCTCGGGTTTATCTTGGGAGCATCTGTTGGCAAACCCATGCCAGCTTCCCCTGAGATGCAGGGACATGGCCACGCTGGGGCTCCTCTTTGCCAGGCCACCTCCCAGGCCACCAGCACGGGCAGCCAGGACCTCCCTGTCCACTGGGTGGACCAGGGGAATCGTGACCAGACACCCCACTCAGAAGACCCAGAGGGGACTTTTCTGGCCCTTGGCTCCATGGGGACCCTGGGGAAGGGCAGCTCCTAACAGCCCTTCCAGGCTGGGGTGTAAAGAGCACAAAGGGACCCAAGGGGAGCCTTTCACATGGTAATGGCTGTGGTGCCCAGCCATCAGGGCCCAGATTAAGAGTCGTCATTATGTCTTTAGAGGCCCATTAAAGGGCTGTTGATGGCACACCAGCAGTCTGGGGAACCAACCCATGCCGATCAGTGAGACTGGTGGGTGCTGGCAGGTGAAACCAGTGCTGGGCATGTGTGGGGCACTGCCCATTGCTCCCTGCAGCATCCTGGCTGCTCCTCCACCCACCCGCGCGGAGCTGGGCCCTTGTCCAGCAGCGGGTACTGGGCTTGGGTGCCGCTCCAGCCTGGGCTCCCACCCAGGGCTGCCTCCGGCTCGCTCCTGGTTTCTCCTCTGCCTGGCTGACGCGTGAGCGGCTGCAGGGCCTGGGGACCCTGYGCGTTGGCTTTTGGTCCCGGCCCCTGACGTGGCTGGCCCGGGGAGGCTCTGGCAGGGGATGCTCACGAACCCGGCTGCTTTCTGACTTGCTTTCCCCCCCATCCCTGCTTCCACTGCCGCTGCAGACCGGAGAGATGGAAGTGAGAAACCCGCTGTTCGACGACTCCACCTTACACCCCCCGAACCCCAAGTCACAGCAGTAACGCCCGTCCTCGCTCCTCGCGCCCGAGCTCGCTACGGACTGTACACAGAACGCCCGAAGCCAGCGCAGGCAGCGCCGCCGCAGGGCACCCGCGCCGAGGCCGGGGGGCCGCCGCAGCCTGGCACCCCCTGCCTCTGCCAGACTGCTCGCCGCCTGCCCAATAAACACCCCCTAACAGCTATGGGAAGGGGGGGCCGCCCCCGTTTCCAGCCTCCTTGTTCTCTTTGGGAAGCGCCTCTCTGCCTTGCCCCCAGGGCTGCTGCGGATGCTCTGTGCACGGGGCGGCCGTGGGTGCAGTGGCAGGGAAGGGGGGGCTGCAGAGCTGGTCCCTCGCGGCCAGGAGGGCTCGAGAGCAGCGTTTTGCAGCTGCAGACGGGCTAATGCAGCAGCAGGCAGGAAAGGGCTGGAGAGGGAGGGCTTCTTTGGGACAGGGCCGCGGTGCTTCTGGTGTAAGCGCCACGAGCCCCTCCGGGCGGGACGGAAGCTTTCCCAGCATTGGGCAAACATTTGTAAAGGCTCCGGCTGGCACCGGCGTTCGGCTTTGTCCCCTCCAGTCCTGAGAGCCCCTGCGACCCAGGCCCTACTTGAGAAGCCCAAGTGGCCCCTGGCCTCAGCAGGTGCCCGGAGATGCCCATGGTGCAGGGTGCCTGTGGCAGCCCCCTTACCTGTTTGGGGCACAAGCCCCCAGCTGGGCAGAGCATTTCCTCAAGTTCTGCTTGGGTGCTTGGGCTGCTCTGTCTCCTCTGGCACTCAGTCCGCAACAGGGCTGGGTGTTGAGGCGCTGCAGGATGCCAAGGGCGAGGAAGGAAACGTGCTGCCCCATGCAGGACTGCTGGGGCTCATCATTGCTGGGTTCATGGGCAAGGGTGAGAAAGGGCTAAATTTGGGGTTGAAACCTGCCAGCAGCAGAGGAGAGGAAGGAGCATCCTCGGGGCTCCCAGGGCTGAAGGAAGCCGTAGCCCAACCAGCCATCGGGTGACAGCAGAGCTTGCTGAGCAATGGGTGCAGTGAGCACCCATCAGTGTCGGTGCAGCARCACCGGGTCCCCTGCACGCCAGTGTCACCCCGTGCCCTGCCTGTCCCCACAGCCACCTGCTGCCCCAAGGAGCTGGTCCCCTGCCCGGCGTCCCCGTGCAGGCTGCTCTGCAGCAGGGGACGGTCACTCGGGTCCGTCGTGGGACGGTGCCCGGCCTTGGAGCTGCCGTGGCCCCACAGACAGCAGGTGCAGGGCAAGGGGGGGTGCTGTGCCCCCCTTGCCAGCCCTGCCACCATGCCCTTGCTTGGAGCCCGCACGCGGGAGGCTCGTTGCACGCGCGGGGGATGCGGGCAGCGGCGCTTGCTCTTGGCCATGCTATGTTCAAGGCGGGGTGCTGCTCCGCTCCCCGAGCCCGTTGTCRTCATCGTATGGACTGTAGTTTATTTTCCAAAGGAGATTTTATTAAACAATCCATGTTTGAGACCCATTGAGAGTGTGTGGTGTGGGGCCGGGCTCGCTCTGCTGCGTCGGACGCAGCGCCCGCGTGGGGATGCTCCAGCTTTGGGGGGGCTCCTCCACCAGCTGCCTGGGCCTCTGCGGAGTGCCCAGAGCTCTCTTATTCTCAGAAACAGTGGATTTTTTTTGCTCCTCAGCCCCATGCTTGGGCATTTCCCCAAACATCTAAGGTATAAAGGCAGGTGAGGGCAGGCTGCTCTGGTTGTCCCCAGGGTTTGCACCGTGGCCCCGAAGCAGTGCCCACCTCCTGCCCACCTAATCTCACGCCTCCAGGGCTGGGTGCTTCGCACCTCGCTCGGGGCTCAGATAAGAGCAATCTGGGCCCGGGTGCTCCTGCAGCCCCGCATTGTTTCAGCAGGGCTGAATGTCCTGGGTCCCCTCCCGGCCCAGCTCTTTGATCACGCTTAGCCCCGCAGTGCTGATACCATCTCGGCTCCTCAGGGTGGGTTTCGTTTCGGCAGCGCCGGGACGTCGGCTGTAGTAGTGCAGCCCTGCGCTGCGCGTCGCAGTCACTGCTGGTCACTCGGGTGACCAGGTCACACTGCTGGCCCAGGGTTGGGACGTTCAAGGTCCCCACCCATGTTTGGGGGTGCCGGGTGCCAAAGCTGGCACTGCCCCGCGCTCCCAGGGCCATGGGTTGAGGCTCAGCCCAAGCACCCAGGTTTGATCCTGCAAGCCCAGTGGGGGTGGAAGCTGCTAGAAGCAGCGCAGGAAGATGAACTATAGCCCCTTTGGGGGTGCTGGGCTGGAAAAGATGCTGGCATTTCCCTGCCATGAAGGAAGGGGGGAGTTGGGAAAGAGAATTGTGAGTCGGTCCGTGGCTGCATGGCTGCTACCGAGCCTGCACTGCGGTGAAGATGCTGCTGGGGATGCACATCTGGACCAGACCATCCGCCAGGCTGGGCTTTCATCTCAGCCTGGGCTCATGCGCTACAAGCAGCCTCGCAGCATCCTCCCGGCTAAGCCCCCTGCTTAATCCTTGCTGAACAAAACAGCTACACGGAGCCAGGGGAGCCAAGCAGAGGGAGGTCCCCAGCTGCGATGCCAGGAGCAGCCAAGTGCTCTGCAAGGAGCTGGGGGGCAAGATGTGGGGTGCAGGGGTAAGGGAGGCTGCTCTCACCTAACGTGGGGAGTGCAGTCGAGCGGGGCCCAGCTCTGCTCCTGAGTGTCACACCTCAGGTCTGTGCACAAGGCTGCTGAAGCAGGACTTGCCAGGTTGTGCTCCATGGCCAGGGCTGCAACGGAGGCTCTCGGTCCCTGCCTCCCATGGTCGCCCAGGCCCGTGCGGCTGCAGCCAGGTTGACTAGATGGGTTTAGCTCCAAACTTAGGGTTTTCTCCCACGGATGAGAATTTGGATGCTGAAACTGCCAGCCTGAGCCTTGTCAGGTGGACCAGAAGTGAAGCTGTTCAGGCATGAWGCCAGCTGAGTCCTTCCCATTGCTGCTGACCACCTCAGCCCCCAGCCCACCATGCATGGGGCTGCAGTGTATTAGATCTGAGATATTAGGCCTTAACCTCAAGGGCCTCCAGCAGAGCCCTCTGACAGCTCCTGTCCCAGCTGCTACAGGAGAGGGGGTTGGCAGTGAGAAAAACATCTCTGACCACCCAGCAGCCAAGCTAGACTGGTACAACCCAGCAAGTGGGAGAGAGACAAATCCACGTGGGTGCCCCCATCCTGCCGCCACCCCGCAAGGTGGGCAGGACGCGTCACCACTCTCTGCTCCCCTTTTCCTGGCAGGATCCCGCTGCCGTCCCTCTTAGGAGAGCCCAGCCTGCCCMAGGGTGCTGAAGCCATACAGGCTGGGGACGGGAGCTTGGGGACGGCCGGCCCGCATGGAAAYGCTGCAGAGCAGCATCCTTCCACCTCCACATCAGGCAAACACCGGGAGCATCTCCCTGGAGAGGAGGCAGCGGGATGGCTGGGAGCCGCCGAGCGAGCGCCCTGCACAAAACTGAGACCCATTGAAATGGATGGGGGGAATGACGGGGACAAGGTGCGGGGTGGGGGGGTGGCAAGACACCCCACTGACTCGCTCCACATCCCCCAGCGAAACCCATCAGGGCCCACAATGGGCCGGGCTCCTACAAAGAGGCAGTTCAAAGTCAACGTCTCCCCTTCGCCTCCGCCTGTATATGAAAGGGAGCTGGAATGCGTTTGAGGGCGCGATGGCTCGGCCCGCTTCCTGGGGGGATGGAGAGAAAGAGCAGGTCGCCGAAGGAGGAGGGGGGCCTGGCCAGGAACAATAAATCAAAGGCCAAGGGGGAGTTGCTGCCCGGCTGAAGGGGCTTCTAAAACCGTCGCAGCCCCAGCTGGAGCCCGGCAGGAGCAGGGCTTGATCGCTGCCCATTGGAGTCCCGCGGCGACACTTCCTCTGCCCGCGGGCTCCGGCCATCGCTCCGGCCAGGCGCTGCGCTCCAGCCTGGCGTGCACCCCGGGCACCGCTGCGCCAGGCCGCAGGCACCGCCGGGCGCCTCTGGGCTTGCCCACCCTGCACAGCTGCTTTTCTGCAGCCTCCAGGTCTTCTGAGAGCATATTCCAAAGGGCTGTCCCCGCTGTGAGATCAGCGGGTGCACTCAGGGGTGCCAGATGCACAGGCAGCCCAGCAAACATCCAGTAAGAGCATCAGGAGTGAAGAAGGGCTTCAAATCCAACTCACCCTCTTGTCCCCTCTTCCTCCCCCCGCCCTGTCCCCGCCAACCACCCTTTTGTAAAATTCATTGCAATGGGTGTTCTCTCCCCGTAACCATGGGCACCCACACGCATCATGCAAGGGCAGACACATGTCCAGGGATGCCCAAAGGAAGAGGGGAGCTCAGCCACGTTGCGAAGGGGCCCTGCACATGTCCGTGACAGCAGCGCAGGGTGCTCAGCCTGCAGGAGCGCAGCCCTCGCCCGGAGCCAGCCGCAGCCCCCGGCTCCGCAGCCTCCACCCAGAGCGATTGTTTCAGAAATCGGTGACAAAGCGCCTTCCTTTCAGGCCGGGCCGGGAGCACTATCCAAAACACAAAGCCCAGGGGTGGGGGCATCTCCCAGCCTATCTCCCCGGCATATCTCYGGAGTGTGAGACTGCAGCAGGCTAAACAACAGCTCCCAGTAATCCAGGTTAATAAACAGGGAAAGGTGCTGGCAGCAGGGCCTGCTCCTTGCCTTGAGGCTGGGGGGCCGCGCCATGTCTTGCAAGGGGGGTCATGGGGGCCCTGCCCTGCCTGTGCTCTGCTGTGCCCAGGCTTCTCCGCAGAGCAGCCGCCGTGGGGTGGCAGCACCCAGGGGGTGTCCCGGCCACAGGACCGGCCGCCTGCCAGGAGTGTCCTAGAAAGGCCCCGAAACGGCGTGGGGGGTGGGAGAGAAGCGGGGAAATGCCTTGAGCCCAGGTCTGATAGCTCCATTGTGGATCAGCAGGGTGAAAGGAAAGCCCTCGAGATAGTGAAAATATCCCGCCTGCTCCATTGTGGAGCAGATGGGGGAGATAGGCAGGGTCGGAGAGGTGGCACTCCCAGCGCCCCAGCCTCCCGCAGCCCTGGGTGCAGCTCTGCAGAGCAGACACCGCCCGCCTAGGTGTGGACCTTCCTCTTGCAGGGGGAGGAAGAGGAGAGCAACCGTGGGAGAGCACAAGGGAGATGGGGACTCCATCCCTCCCGGCAGCARCCTCAGAAGTGCTCCGGAGCCAGGCATCCCGCGGAGCAGAAGCCTTCAAGGCTCGGTCCATGCTTCCCTCCTTCCTGCAGGCATGGCAGAAGGGTGGGTGGGTGCCAGGAGAGCACCCCCAGAGCAACATGGCACCAGTGTCCTGGTCCCCACTCCTCCTTGGGACTTGTCTCAGTCCTGCAGCCGAGGGGCTGCCCGTAGCCCTAGGCAAGATCCTCATCCTATGGGCATGTTCCAGCTTAGTTCAGGCCACTGCCACTGCCACCATCCCCCAAAGTATTCCCCTTGCCTGCCATTTTCCKGCCCTCCCTGAGACCCTACAGCACGGAGCCTCCAGGGTGAGGAGAGGCTGAGGGACACATTGTCTATGGAGACGTTGCCTTCCCCTTTCCCAATCACCCCATAAGTTGTGCATGGGGGGACAGTGAACCCTGGCCCTGCCACTTTGCTGTTTGTTCCTGCTTGATATGTGGGTGTTGGGGCTTGTCATGTGGGTGCCCCCTGCCAGGGGCCACTTGTAGCCACGTTCCAGGGTTTATCACCCCACTCAGGTGGGATCTGAGCCTTCTTTCCATGGCCCCCAAGGGCAAGGATCCCAGGGCACCATAAATCACCTACCCACTCTACTTTATTTCCCCTCTAGATGGGCACCCCGGCGGCCGGACCCTCSGTGCCCCCTCCTCATCCCTCCCTCCCCCACCCCGGGAAAAGGGGCATCAAGTTCATGCCCGACCCACCGGTGCGGCCGCAACGCGGGGGCCAATGGGGCCGGGGCCCATTTCCATACGGTCCGGCCCGGCCCGGCCCGGCCCCCGCCGCCTTCAGTGCCCCGGCGGCGCCGCAGCATGGAAGCACCGTCGGGTGAGCTGCGCCCGGCCTGAGCGCCGCGGCCGCATGGAGCCTTGAGGGCGCGGGCACCATGTTCAGCCCGGACGGGGGGCTGCCGGCCGCCCCTTTCGGCCTGCTGCCCGACGGCGGCCCGCCCTTCTCCCGCGGCGCCTACGACGGCGCCCCCGCGCAGCAGCTCTTCTTCCCCTTCGCCACCGAGCCCGACGGCGGCCGCGACGCGGCGTCCGCGGCGCCCCG